TAATAGCCATCCTACTGGGTGTGAAGTAATATCTCATTGTGGTTTTGATTTGTATTTCCCTAATGATTAATGATGTTGAGCATGGTTTCATGTACTTCATATATATGTATGTATCTTCGTAGAGAAATTACTGTTCAAATCCTTTGCACATTTTTTAATTGAGTTATTTGTCTTATCGTTGAATTGTAGAAGTTCTTTTTTTTTTTTTTTGAAACAGAGTCTCACTATGTTGGCCTCAGTAGAGTACTATGGCATCACAGCTCACAGCAACCTCAAACTCTTGAGCCCAAGTGATTCTCCTGCCCCAACGCCCTAGGTACCTGGGACCACAGGCACTCACCACAACGCCCAGCTATTTTTTGGTTGCAGTTGTCATTGTTCTTTAGCAGGCCTGGGCCGGGCTTGAACCCTCTAGCCTCCAGCTGGCACCCCACTCACTGAGCTACGGGCACTGAGCCTAGTTCTGTATATATTCTAAACTCTTACTAGGTATATGTTTTGCAGATATTTTCTTTTATGGGTTTTCTTTTCACTTTCTTTTTTATTTTTATTTTTTGAGACAGTTTCACTTTGTCACCCTCGATAGAGTGCTGTGGCATCATAGCTCATAGCAACCTCCAACTCTTGGGCTGAAGTGATTCTCTTGCCTCAGCTTCCTGAGTAGCTGGGGGTACAGGCACCCGCCACAATGCCCCGGTATTTTTTAGAAACAAGGTCTCTCTCTGGTTCCAGCTGGTCTCACACCTGTGAGCTCAGGCGATCCACCTACCTCAGACTACCAGAGTGCTAGGATTACAGGTGTGAGCCACCACGCCTGGCCCCACTTTCTTTATAGTATGCTTTAGCTTACAAAAATTTTTTTAATCTCAACGAAGTCTAGTTTATTTCTTTTGGTTGTGTTTGCTTTCGGTGTCATATCTAAGAAATTATTGCCTAATCTAAGGTCACAAAGATTTATCTCTAGGTTTTCTTCTAAGAATTTTCTAATATACCTCTTACATTTAGGTCTTTGGTCCATTTTGAGCTAATTTATGTATATGGTATAAGATGGAAGCTCAACTTCATTATTTTGCATGTGAAAATCCAGTTGTCCCAGTACCATCTGTTGAAGAAACTATTCTTTTCCGCCATTGAATTGTCTTGGAACCCTTTTCAAAAATCAGTTGTCCATAAAAGCCCCATTGTATGGATTTGTTTCTAGACTTTCAGTTCTATAGCACTGATCCATATATAGTCACATCTTTATGCCAATATATACCCCTTTGTATCTTTTAAATTTTGAATCACATGAGTACATTAATTTAAAACTAGTAAAATTTTAAAACAATTATTAACTATGACCACAATTTACTCCTTTAATTCTCCTCAATTTTCCCTTTCAGGAAAGTGTGCCGTGTTGTCATTCAAGGACTTCCTCTCCTGCAGACCAACTGAAATACCAGAAAATGACATTCTGCTTTGTGAAAGCCGCTACAATGAGAGTGACAAACAGATGAAGAAATTCAAGGGACTGAAGAGATTTTCACTCTCTGCTAAAGTGGTAGATGATGAAATTTACTATTTCAGGTAAATCTTCAAAAAACTAAGGAAGAAAGAACACTTCAGCTAACTGATATCAAAGTAGTGTAGTCCAGGGGTGGATCCAGTGGTTCATACCTGTAATCCTAGCACTTTGGGAGGCTGAGGAAACAGAACTGGTTGAAACCAGGAGTTCAGGACCAGCCTGAGCAAGAGCAAGACCCCATCTCTACAAAAACTAGAAATAGGAGCCAGGTATGATGGTACATGCCTGTAGTCCCAGCTACGTGGGAGGCTGAGACAAAATTGTTTGAGCCCAAGAATTCAAAGTGCACTGCACTCTGGCCCTAGTGACAGAGTAAGACCTGTCTCAAAAAAAAAATTTTAAAAAGTAAAGTTTAGTGTTGTTTTCTGTATTTCATCTTAAACTGGATGAATATGAATTTCAAATATAAAATATTAATTCAGTTAAAGATTAAAAGAAAAGCATCATAATCTGTTGAGGAGACCTGGTAACTACTCTAACAGTGCCCTTAGCTTAGACTTCAGTAAATATAAATCAAAAGCAGAAATACTTGCTTCTGGTTTACACTCTTTTGGAGATTTCTCAGTTCCACAGATTATGAAAACTCTTTTCTCTGCAACTAGATCTCAATTTTGGACCTAGTAATTTTGTGAATATTCGGCAGAATCCTAAAAGCAAGCATCTCTAAGCGGAGGTGACTTCATAAATACACATTTAAACTCTTTCCCTTGCTACCCTTAGAGTACACATTGAAGATTGCAGGAAGTCATTTCTATACATGAAGATAGAACACTGCTTTCTAACTAACCCTGAAAGGTAATTTTAATTTTTTTATGTCATTCTCAGAAAACCAATCATTCCTCAGAAGGAGCCCTCACCTTTGTTGGAAAAGAAGATCCAGTTGCTAGAAGCTAAATTTGCCGAGTTAGAAGGTGGAGATGATGATATTGAAGAGATGGGAGAAGAAGATAGTGAGGTCATTGAACCTCCTTCTCTACCTCAGCTTCAGACTCCCTTGGCCAGTGAGCTGGACCTTATGCCCTACACACCTCCACAGGTGAAGGTGACAAGTTCCTGTTAAACCTTTGGTTTGCAGCAGACTCAAACCAAAGTAAAGAGCCATTCAGCCCCTCCATTTGTGAGCTTTACCCTAGAATTCTGCAGGAAGGAACAGATCTTTTTTTTCTTCCTCAGTGTTGTATATCTACATTTATTTATTTTTAATTGACACAAAAATTCTATATCATGTCATTAATAATTTATTATTATGCCATCATATTAATGCCATTAATAGTTTAAAATTTAATATCTTCGTGAATTTTATAGATAGCTATTTGTAATGCAGGTTTAGTTACAAGACTTCCCTGCTTCATACTGAAGAAAAGCAATAAGGAGCTTTTATTGCCTATACCTTTTTAATTTCTACTTCTTTAGGACTTCACTTTTTGGTTGAGGGTGATTCCTGTTAGTATTTTTTTTCTTGTTTAGAATTTTGTCAAGACTTAATTGTGAGGTCACCATTACAGATTGCAGTCATGGAATTCAGTGAAATTTTCATGTATTTTTTACTTGGTAAGAAACAAGGAAGAGCTGTGTTTTGACCAAGAAAATGGCCAGCTATAAACTAAATATGTCTATAAAATAGTACCTATTAAATCATGTGTTCTGGCTTCCAAAATTTTTAAGCAGCTAACTAAATGCCATGTTCTGATGCACCATAAGAGCTTTCTATCTTGCAGTCTACCCCAAAGTCTGCCAAAGGCAGTGCAAAGAAAGAAGGCTCCAAACGGAAAATCAACATGAGTGGCTACATCCTGTTTAGCAGTGAGATGAGAGCTGTGATTAAGGCCCAGCACCCAGACTACTCTTTCGGGGAGCTCAGCCGACTGGTGGGGACAGAGTGGAGAAACCTTGAGACAGCCAAGAAGGCAGAATATGAAGGTAAATAGAGACTAGGCACAACTGTCTCAGCTTTCTAAGCAAAGGGGTGTTTTCAGGAATGCATGTGCCTAAACAGGTTTTACTCTCTTGTTCCTACCCTTGCCATGTGAACTTTGTGTTGGGTACTCATCTACATGGCACCCAAAAGCAGTTTAGATGCCAGCCTTGTCCTGACTAAACAGAGCGCTGCCCCTTACTTGGCCTCTGATCCCAGTGTGGTTTTCCCCCACCCCCAAATTTTTCAAACAAATATTTTGCTGTTTAAAATTGCATGATTTGTTTTCTCATTGAGCCCTATAAGCACATGTGTGTTAAGCTAGGGAATGATTATATAGGGATGTTAAATATAATTTTAATTAAAATCCATTTGAAAGGGGTCTTTTAAAATCATTGTTGTTCTTTTAAGCTCTTGATAAGCCATGTGTTTGTTTGTTTGTTTGTTTTTAAGGGGGAGAAAGGGAGGAAGAAAGGCTGACAGTGAACCATATATTTAAATTCCAGGCGGAGGCTTTGCTAAAGTACTTAGTGTCCTAGGCCAGTCCTGGCCTATGCTATGTCTCTATTCATAGCTACTCTTAAGGCCCTTGGAGTCTCTTTAGTATAGCTCAAATGCATTTCTTTTTCTTTTACTCTATAATTCAATTACTTTGGGCCATGAGCTATCATTAAGAGATTTGGTAGTTGTTAGCCATTTAGGGAACTCTCTGAGAGAGAGATTTGGGGAGTTTTGTTGGTAGTGTTTAGTATTAGGCACAGCTTTAATAAAGAAATGAGGGCTCGGTGCCTATGGCTCAAGCGGCTAGGGTGCCAGCCACATACACCTAAGGTGGCAGGTTCGAATCCAGCCCGGGCCCACCAAACAACAATGATGGCTGCAACCAAAAAATAGCCGGGCGTTGTGGTG